AAAAAATTGGCCAGCAGCAACCGAACAAGGAAATATACCATAACTTTGAAAATTGGCAGCCAATGAAGGATAATTCTAGCACAGTATATTCTGTCTCTACTCTTCAGCAACAGCACTGACCAGAAAAGAGGATTCAAAAAAACCTCTAAGAACTGTCACTAACATCCCTGATTTGTAGGGGAAATAGTGTGAGGAGATGAGTCAGCAATCCTGGAGAAAGATGAAAAAGATACCTTCCCCACAGCAGCCCACTCAAAGGCCCCGGCTTCTCATCTTCCAAGACCTTGTCCTGATTTAAGGACACTAGCTGAAGCCCACAGAAGTAGAATGTTCCCCTGACCTCGTGGAATGGTTTCTGGTGTATGTCACTGCGCAAAGTCTCAGAGGCAAGAGAGAGCAGACTTCCGATCCTCCAGAAAGTGTGCCAGCAGCTCTAGCCAAGTTTTCTTCACACCCTACCCCCATCTTTGATAGAAAAGTTACTAAAGGACAGTGTTCACATCTCAGACTGTGACTTGAAAGACAAGACAATACAGAAGAAGATAAGAAGACAAGATGTGGAAGATGAATCACCTGCCATATGAGAGCACATGGAAATCTGTGTGAGCAGCTCACTCTGCATATAGGGAAGACGAAGAACAGCGGCACGGGGAATGCACCAACATGAGACACTAGAAGAAGGAGGGAAAAAAGGGAAGGAGAAAAGAAAGAAGGAAGAGATTGCCCAGAGCATGCAAAATCTATGCAGAAAATATGAGAATAAAGTCATTCAAGAGACGATAGATACAGAAGAGAGACAAAGTTGATCAAACATAAGAACAATAAGTGTCTCTGAAGTAAAGAATCCAACAGGTAGAACAGGAGAAGTTTTCAAATATAACGTAGGAAGTAAATGAAGAGTGGATCTGTAGTTCAAAGGGACACACTGTGTTCCAAGATTGTTACAGGGAGATTAACACCAGACCCATCATAGTTAATGAATAGTTAAGCTAGTAACTTCAAGGATAAGGAAAGATTTCTTCAGGGCTTTAGGTAGAAAAAGCCAATCACCTAAAGGAGAAATGTTAGACCAGCTCTAGGCTTCTTTATAGCCATGTTCAATGTCAATGCCAAGTACCAGAGTAAAATGGGGATCACCCTGGGTGGAAGGTTTAGGGATGACTTTTGTTTCCTTTTTATGCCTTTCTATATTATATGCTTTCTTTAATTGTTTAAAATGGGAAAATATTACTCGTGATAATCAGAAACAAATAATAAAACTATTTTCATTTTTGAAAACAAAACAAAGATAAAGGACCTCCCAGAAATCCATTCTGTTTCCATAGCAAACCCCATTCTTTCTCATTTTACCCTGGATTTAAAGAAACAGACCATGAGAGACTCAGGAAATCAGGCTACCAATGCCTACAGACAGAAGAGAAACAAATGAACTCCAGGATTTGGGATAAAATCATGAAGACCGCTAGGTTCCTTTCATCACATGGTTTAAAGATTGTTGTCTTAGACTTCTTTGCATCGCTACGGAGTGACTAAGACTCAGACTCAGGAGTCACACAGCTTTGAGTTTGCCTCTCACTGGTGATGTGATCTTGAGGAGATTTCTTAACTTTCTTAGGCCTCGAGTTCTTTATAGGTTAAATGGGAAGAATAATAGTAGTAACTAGCACATAGCAGCAATAATTAAATGAAATAATGTATGTAAAGTGCTTTTCACAATGCCTTCCGCGTAGTTACCATCACCCGCATCAGCAGCTGCAGTGGCACCATTATCATCTCTTCTATCATTATTACACCATCATTTTCATTTCTACCATCATCATCATCATCATATCACTGGCATCATCATCACCATCATCATCATCATCATCATCACTCCTTGCTAAGAGACCTTGGGCATGTCACTCCCCTTCTCTGGGCTTCAGCTAACTCATTATAAAATGGAGGGGAATAACGCAGAGGAGTTTTGAATTATTATTATAGTAGCTAACACTTACTGAGTGCCTCTCATGTGCCAGGCTTGTACTAAGTGCTTGCATATAGTAGTTCATTTAATCCTCACAAACACCCCCAGTAGCTAGTCCCTACTGTCATCACTTTACAGGCGAGAGACCTGAACTCTAGCGAGGTTTGGTGGAGCCAGGACCTAAACCTGTTCTTACTGATGCCAGAGCCCAAGTGCTAGGCCACTGTGCTGCACCACCTTCTCTGGTTGTTAAGTGCAAGGGAGATAATGGGAATGAAAACCCGTCAGCACAGTGGGCTGTGCAAGCTCCTCACGGTTGCTTGTATTTGTCCTCAGTGGGTGGCCTGAAGGCTCAGGCAAGGAAGGAGACAGGAGACCTGATGTAGATGTACTGTGAACTCCAGGGTGTCTTAACTGTTCTTCCGTTGATCCTGCAGACCTTTACAGAGCACCTCGTATGTGTGTCCTAGGTGCTGTGCTGGGAGCAGGGGCCGTAACTAATAAATAAGTCACGGTCCCAGCCCTGAAGCAACAAAGAGGCCTGCAGGGAGGCAGGTTTGTCAATGTTCTGTCCATTGTAAGCTGATATACCGGCACCAGAAGTGTTAACTGAGTTATCCTAAGATGCTTCCAAACACACCTAGGGAAGTCGAGGAAAGTGAAACACCAGCCCTCACACAGGGTATAGTTGTGAACTGACCCCTACGATATGCTGCAAAGCTCCCAGTGGTGTTAGCTGCAGGACCAACTGCGTGTGTGACACAAACACTTTCTGACAATGAAACGTCGTGCACTCTACAGACCTAAAGGCTGGTTTTAGCACATTTTAATGTGTAACCATGTTCTCGCACACATTGATAGATAGCTTTAAGATATGGAGGGTCCATTTTCTTTGTAGTAAACAACATATCAAATCTTTTCAAAATCACATTTTGAGCATTTAATTCAAGTATGTAAATATTGATCTAGTATCTACTCTCTGTCAAAGATACCAGGCAAATGGAGATGCTGCTGGCCCTGGAGGGGCTCACGGTCTGGTGGGGGGTGAAGGGATGGGCCATTCTGAGTGATTTTTGATATGTTTGAGTCTAAGGTCTGCTGGCAGTATAGCTGGGTGATAACGGTGAGTGTTCTGGAGAGACACAGGCTTGGGTTGGTCCTGGCTCTGTGACCTTGGGTTGCTTGGGTGAACTTGATGATGAACGTTGTGGTTGTGTGCAATGCTCACAATGAAAATGTTGCCTCCGTGGGGTGGAGTCTCTGAATTCAGCCCCTTCCTTGCATCCCCATTATCACCATCCAAGCCCTCTAGACAGCCATCGCCTCCTTCCTGCACTGCCCAACAGCCTCCTACATCCACTCCTCACCCTCCGGTCCTTTCTCCAAACAGCAGTGATGCCCGCGAAATGCAAATTGACCACATCAACCCGTGCTTAAAACTCCTCATTGGTTTTCTTCTTTAGCAAACCCCTCTCCTTGATCTACAACAGGCTGCCTCATGGGCCCTGCTCACCTTTGCCACCTCGTCCCATTCCCCCCAACACTCCCTCAGGTGTCCAGATAGATTGGCCTCCATTCTAGACCTTGACCTAATCCCTTTCACCCTTCAGGGCTCTGCCCTCCCATCCCTCCACCCAGCATAATCTTCCCCAAATCTTCACAAGCTGCATCTCCTCCTTCAAGCCACATCTCAACCTTCACCTCCCCAGAGAGCCCTCCCCCAATCACTGCTAACGCAGACCCTCCCCTGTTGTCCTCTGCATTTCCTCCAGAGTGCTTATCACATGCTGACATTGTTTATTCATTCACTCACTTCTTTTTTAGTAAATAAGTCATCTTTTCTCTCCCACCAGATGAGGGAGTCCCACGAGGGCAGGGACATTGTCACTCTCATCCACCACTGTGGGACCACCCCCAGTGCAGTCAGTGATCATGGAATGTTGATGGAAGGAATGGCTCTAGCCTAGTGTTTCCAGACGGCTCAGTGTCTCTCTCAAGATTGGTAAAGATCCTTAGGGATTTCCCTTCCACCACCCGCGCTTCTTGTCTGTGGAGCCCCTAGGAGTAGATATAATGGGCAGAGTGGAGACTCCATTTGGGGATGAGGGAGTGCAAACAGGAGCCCCATGGTCATGCCAAGCCCCAGGTCCTGGGTTGGGGCCAATCTCATTGAGTGGGACATTCAGGAAGAGGAGGGTGCATACCTCAGAGATTCTCACCGGACATGATATGTGGAGGGCATTCGGAAACGTGTGGGAGCAGTCTGGGTTGCCATGGTGACCAGGAGCACTCCTGGCATCAGGAGGCAAGGGGTGATAAACATCCTGCAGTTGCACAAAACAGCTTCTCAAGATAAAGAATGTCCTGCCCCAATGCCAGTTCCGTTTCCACTGAGTAACAAATACCCCGCTGCCAGGGTGACTCAGGGACAGGGGCCACCACGAGTCTAGTCGAGGGGAGGTGAGGAGGACAAAAGGATAGCCAGCTGGGCAGGGGCTCCCATCCTCTCTCCAGCAAGGACTAGCAGAAAAGCTCTGAGATGTGGAGGTCAGAGCCCCAAGCCTGAGTTCTGGCTCTGCCACTCAGGAGCTAGGTGACCCTGGGTAAATCAAGTAACCTCTCTGGGCTTCAGTTTTCTCACCCAGGGAATATGGCAGCAATTCCTGCCTGACTCAGTTATTCTGAAGATTAAATTATCAATATTCCTAACACAATATATTTGGTAAATGTCAGTTGCCTTGTAAATCAAATCTGTACACATAGTACTCAATTTCAAAGGCATTTGGAGAGCCAAGAGGATAATGAATCTCTCCTTTGGATGGGCCAGGTCAGAGAAATGATCTTTATACCTTTAGCAGTTAACGGCTGTAACTCCAGCTCCCCCTCCCGAAGCCGTCACTCACACGGGCAAAGCCGGCTCTTCCCAAGAGGGCGCTCCCTGCCACACGGGCGGGTCATATGGCAGGCGTGTGGAGAAGGATGCTGGCGGCATGGCCTTCTCAGGGTGATTAATTCCGTGCCCTGGCTCTGATTGCAGGCGGCATCCCATTCATCTTGACCGGCGAGGTCTTCCAACAATCACAGCGGCCGGCTGCCTTCATCATCGCGGGCACCGTCAACTGGCTCTCCAACTTTGCTGTCGGCCTCCTCTTCCCATTCATCCAGGTATGGCTGACAAGGGGCTTCTTGCCCTTGGGGTTTCCTCTGATCAGCAGCCCTCTGAGTGAGGGGTGAGTCACAGGGCAGAGGCTGGTCCTCTCCCACCTGGAAACTCACACTATTGTCCTAAGGAATGGAGAAATGTACTTGGCCCAAACCTTTAATCCCCTTTCTCACCATGCACCTTCCAGGAGCTGCCCCTAGATGCTAAGGGCTGCCTCAGAAGGAGTGGGCTTCCCATTACTGAGGGTATGCAAGGAAACCTAGGTTAGAATCTCAAACCTGCAACCGCTCATCATTTTTGCAATGTGCTTGTCACTGTGTTACACAAAGTCCATATAATAGTTCCAGTGCACACTGTAATCCTGCCACGCATTTAACATCCTCATTGTCATCATCATAACCACAGCTATTGGGGTCCTTGTCCCCAGGGTGATGGTGATTGACAGGAAAATGCTAACTCTGGAAATGGATACAAGTTCTTTTTGTGTAGGTAAACATTCCATTCCTTCATCTGCTCATTAATTCAACACATATTTATTGCATCCCTGCTGTGTGCCAGGCACTGTTTCAGGCAAGGGGGACAGAGTGGGAATAAAAGCCTGTGTTCTTTTTCAGGCCTGGTGTTGAAAAGAGAAGTGACAGAGGTGGACATGCTGTTTTAGAAGGGGCAGTCAGGGAGGACCTGTCAAAGGAGGTGACATTTAAGCAGAGACCTGAGTGAAGTGAGGGAGCAGCCCGGGAATGGAGAAGTCTAAGCAGAGAAAGAGCAAGTGCAAGGGCCCTGAGGCAGGGCCATGCTTGGCCTGTGTAAGGAACAGCAGGAAAGCCAATGTGGCTGGAACAGAGTGAGCAAGGAAGATGGTTGAGGTAGAAAATGAGATCAGAGGGTTCTCTGGGGACAGAACACAAAAGACAAGGACTTTACAAATGTTCCCCACAGAGCAAGGGGCCCAGCTGCATTCACAGAAGGCGAGTCAAGCTTCCCTGCTCTAATGCCCACCAGGGCTCCCTGCTGCCCAGGGGACTAGGTGATACCGCTGGTAAAGGTGAGGCTCCACCAGATGTCTCTGAGAAAGAACCTGCCATCCATTCTCAGAAGCCCTATCAACCCTCCTCCCCCTACTCAGTGAAGAGTCTGCCTGTTGGTTAACTAACCCCAAGCCCAGCCCATTCCGGAGACCCTGCTGCAAGCCTGGCTGAGTCAAAGGTCAGCTGCCCGGCCGGCCGCGGGCCCTGTGGTGGCTCCTCCTGCAGCCACAGTCACAGAGCGGTTCCTCTGCTCCAGGCCCCCGGCGCACGGGTGCATGTGCTCGCGTCAGCCTCACGCAGCCCTGAGCTGGGGTTTCTTGTCCTTCCCCCTTTTTGCAAAGATCTGAGGCTCAGCCCGAGGTCCCGCAGTCACACCAAACCCGGTTCCTCTGCCCCACCCCCTCTTCCTCGCCAGCACTCTCCATCTGCCCCTCGTCACGGTCTCCGCAGTCTCCGAGTGAGAGGCTGACACACCATGTTACTTTTAAAGTTTCTTTGACCACATTTTAGCTCCAACTACCTGTCTCTGAAACAAGTGTCCAGGGGGGCTCCGTGGGCCGTGGAGTTAGAGGAGGCTCCACATCCATCTACTCCCATCCTCAGGGCACCGTCGCCCGGCTCTGGTCAGAACATAGCAGGTTGTCTTTTCGATTGACTTTGAGCCTTAAATGGCTTTTTTGAGTTTGGTTCAAAGCCCGCAGAGCCGGAGGTCAGTAAAATATTCATTATTGTGAGGAAAATTAACTTCAAATCACTTCTCTGTCCATGCCAATCTCCCACCACCTTTACAAATTAAGTGGAGAAATTCTAGAGCCTTCACACAGCCCCCAACTAAGCTTTAAAGGGGAAGTAGGCCACTGTCTTCTGAGAGATCTGGGGAGGGCGTGAGAGACTTCGCCGCAACCCCAGACCAAAAGCGCTGTCTCACTTTCCCGCCACAGTGTGGGAGTTAACAACACTGCCGAGCCACTGTCCCGCTGGTATTTACTGAGCGCTTGCTGTGTGCCAGGTGCTATTCAGCCCCCTCAGAGCCAGGAGGCGGTGCCCTCGTTCTCCCTTTCACAGACCAGGAGACTGGCCTGAGAGATGCAGGCACTTCCCGAGCTCACCCTGTACAGCTCAGAAAGTTCTCCAGCTGAACTGGGATCCATCTGACCTCGGCTTCACGTTGCTCATATTTGGCAAATCACAGCCCATCCACAGCTCCCCTCCGATAGAGATGCGGTGCTGCATCTTCCCTGAGACGCTTTCTCAGGCTCGGTGTGTCTAGGGCCCAGGTGTCTGCTTAGTTCCATGAAATGCGTGCTGGCTCCGCCTACTCAGCTGGACTACTTGTCAAGGACGGGGCCGGGGGGACAGTGACCCCAACTGAGCATTCTCTGTGTGCCAGGTCACACGTGCAGTCACGCCACTGCACGGAAGGTCTATGACTCCCACGTGGCGGTCGGGACGGGCTGGGGTTTGCTGCAGGGAGAAGCGGCCCCCAAGTCTCAGGGGCTTTAAACACCCCAGGACTACGTCTCGCTCCTGCTGGGTGTTCACTGCGGGGGACTAGAGATTCTGCCCCAGAGCTTCCCGACTCAGGAATGCTGGCTCGCAGGGCCTCTTCCCTCCGCAACAGCTGCCCCTGCGGCAGGTGGAGGGAATGTGGCCAGTCTCACACCTGCCCCCTAAGGCCTTGGCCTGGCAGTGACATGTGTCACCACCATGCCAATTCCCTACCTAAGAGGAATGCAAACTGCCATGTGTCCTGAAGGGGAAGGGCCAGAAAGTTTACATCCTTCCTTCATGACAGCCATTGAGTCTGCTTTTTGAGGAGGAGAGTCAGGCTCAGCAGGCTTAGGAGACCCACCCGAGGCCCCGTCGCTGGAGAGAGGAAGAACATGGTCACGCTCATGGATGTGCGCCTTTTCTCTATCCACATGGCTCTTGTGTGTTTCGAACTTCCTTGACAATAACCCACTTTCTGACGGCCTTGACAACGTATTGTGGGGATCACCTTCATTCCAACTGGCTCACTTCCAGCTGGGCGCCCACCTGGCCGGAAGCCCCAGGAGCCTGAGAGGTTTCTGGGGTCACTGCTCATCGTGGGTTACCTTGCTGCGATGTGCTGGAGTGTTTGAGGGCAAAGTAGGACCAGGACTCCGAGTGGTTATAGTGTCCCTCCTTCAGGGGCCCCGGAGGAGCACCTGAGCACGCTGAGACTGTCACTGTGTTGAAAGTGCATCCATTTGCGCTAACAGGGTGACCCACTGTGCCAGATTTCATAGAGAAAGTGAGCCCCAGGGCCGCCCAGGGCCTGGCCTGGAGCAGGGGAATAAGGCCAGGGGGGGATGCCACAGGCCCACAGAGCTAAGGTCCCACCGTGCACAAATGACACAAGTCTGTGTGCCCATCTTACAACATCAGACCAGCTGGTCCCCTCAGACGTGTCAGGGGCACAGGTGTCATGGGCAGGGCGTGGGCACTACTCCTTACAGGCTTGGGTTTCCAGTTTGGGGCAGCGCAAGGAGAAGTGCAGGGGTCACAAAGAAAGACAGTGGTCAGGGAAGGCCTGGAAGGCAGGCTCTGACCTCTCCCCCGGGGGACCTCGGGCTCAGATCTCGTCACTGCCTTGGGCAGTTCGGGGCTAGAGCTGGAGAGAGACGTGGCTCCCACGTCAGAGAGAGACCACCTCACCTTGACCTTGCCCTTGCCTGGCAATGTCTGCAGCCTCACCAGGGTCGTGGGCAGGTGCTCTGGAGGAGCCAGGGAGGAATTCCACCCGCAGGGCCCTCTGCAGGAGCACGCTGGGTCAGGCGCATGTCAGGAAAAGCTGGTGGGACTGCGTGAGAAGGAAGGGGCTGTGAGAAGGAGGAACTGAGGGCGGGGCGGGTCTCAGGGTAGGAAGGGAACCCCGAGGAACGCGGGAATCCCTTTACCGCATCTCTGCCAGGCAGTTATCGGGCCTTCGCTTGGACTCTCTGGAAACGGGTCTCTGTGCCCCTAGAGGAGGGGTGATTCCATGGTTACAAAGCCCGTCCTTAGAGCGCGGTCCCGTGTACAGGCCAAGACCATGGGTCTGTGAGCATGAACTTCTGTGTCTGTCTCCCAACAAGGCGACCAGAGCCTGCAGGCCAGGCACTGAGCTGCATTGTACCCAGATGTGTGACACGAGGCCTGGCCATGACCGAATGAATGGCTGGGTGGGAGCTAATGTCTGTCAAGGGCCCACAGGGGGGTACAGGACACACCTGATCACATTGACTGGGAAATTACACTGAGTGTCGTGAGTGGGCCAAGATCACACTGCTACCAGAGGGTGGGACCAACCGACATGCAAACGCAAGTCTGTCTGGGCCTCCACCAAAAACCATTTAGATTTCCAAAGGCAAATATTCTCTCATTCATTCATTCCATGAACCTTGCTGGTATCAACAACCTGCCAGGCACTGCACGAGGTGTGGGGACACACTGATGATAAGCCTGCATGACCCTCGGGGGCAAGCCAGGGTGGTGGTGGGCTATGGGAGAGGGGACAGATGTGAACCCAAGGGGTGGTCACACCAGGGAGAGCATGAGAAGTCCTACAACACAGTGTGCACAAAACCGTAGCAGCTCTCCCCAGAGGGAGTGGTTATAACCTCAGGAGTCGGCCTGGGAGGCCTCTCAGAGGAGAGGCGTGGAGCTCAGCTCTGCAGCGTGAGTGGAACTTAGTTCCATCGTGGAGAAGAAGGGCAGTCTGGGCCGAGGTGACAGCATGAGCAAAGGCTCGGGGCCGTAGAAGGAAACCCTGTGTTCAGAGGTACCAGGTGGCCCGGACTAGCTGAAGCAGAGTGTGTTGGGGTGTAGAAGGAGTATTATTGGAGGAAGACGGGCAGGAAGATTCGACCCCAATCACGGGAGACCTTAGATGCCAGGTTCAAACTGTTGGGCCCAGATATAGATGAGGACTTGACTCCAGGTTAGATGCCGACCTCATTTTTGGCATAATA